TTTTTTTTTTTCTTCCTTATCACTCTGTATTTACAGGATTTCACTCTCCACTCTGTTCAAATGTGGATGAATGGCCACATGGAAATGTCAGAGCTATGTGAGATAACTACCATCCTGATTTTGTGGGGGTGGGTCGGGGTGGTCATTTTTTTAATTTATTTTTTATTTTTTTCCCCATAGGTTTTTAACATTAAAAATCTGTCTTTAGTTGTAATGGAGTAATATTTGACCAGCAGCATCTGTACTTTCACTCAAGTAATGGAGTTGAGTACTTTGTCTGCCTCTGTATATATCTACAAAACAAAAAAAGCTTCATACTGTTAAAGGTTAAACCACCTGGCTTTGCAGTTCACTGGTGATCAGGTGACCATGTGTGGAAAGCCCAAGGCCAACCACACTGCCTACGTTTGATCTACAAAGAAGCATTTGGCTAGCCATCATCTAGTAGGCAGATGATTGCATTGGTAATTATAAAAGAGAGAAAAGTTTGTGATGTCTATGTTTATTCATTAAGCAAGTAAGCATATGTTATGAAATTTTATATTTAAAACAAAAGTATAAGCAACCTGCTGGTATAAGGTCAGGAACAAGCTTTTCTGTTTATGATTTGGGCTGCAGGAGAAATTCTTCACACGTCAAGGAAAAGACCACCTCAGTATACTGAAAGAGCAATAGCATTTACAAATGTATGTTATGCATCTCTATCTGGTTTATGATAAAGAGTAAAAGTAATCTTTAAAGTAATAAATAAGATATGATTATTGCATAATTTACCATTGCATTTGGCTCTTGAAGTAGTTCCAGAGGCATAAACTGAGTCCCCTCTAAATCTTCTTCTTGTCTTTTTATTTTTTCTCCAGAGTAGCAACATACACCTGTAAGAGAAGAGAATCATTGTCATATTTTACAGATAGATTAAATTCATTTAAATTATATATAATATAACAGAACTTACCAATGACCACACAGACCAGAACACCATGCATCAGACCAGATAAGATAACAATAATCATCCAAGGTCTCTGAATTTGGTCAGTAAAATTCACCACCGTATGATTCTGCTCAATATACTCCACCACAGTGTGATTCTGGCACTCAGGTAGTTTCGTTGGTTCTATAAAAAACAGCCCTACATTGAAAGCACTGAATATCCATATGGCCTGATCACTGAATGCTCACTCACCAATGATGTGAAGTCTTGTGCCGTTGCTGAATTTTGGAGGTGCCTCTGTGGTCATGCAGTAATAAACGCCTAACTCATCAAGAGTGACATTTTTTATAAATAGATGATGTTTAGGGTGCACAGAATATTTGGGTCTGAAACTTGCATCGTAGTAAAAAGGAGTTGGTGAAGTTGAGAATAACCGCAATATCATAACTGGACGATTTGGTAGTTTCAGTAGCATCCAATAAATCTCTTTTTCTTCAAGATCACAGTTTATGGACACATTTTGTCCCAAATTTGTTAGTTCTGTTAATGTTTCTACAGCTTGACACCATACTAGTAGACCTGCAAGATAAAACAAAAATTATATAAAACGCATAGAACAAAAATAGGATTCTTAAGAAGCATAGTATTGTTCAACAATAAATTAAGTTACTCGATAAAATACTTACAGATAAGATGCTGGATGATCTTTATGTCATTTCCCCATTTAAAATACATCGAGATGAAGAAATCTGGTTGCTTTCAAAAAGGCTTTAAGATGGAACTGTAATTCAGAGCTTTGAAACTCAGAAGAGGGCAGTTTTCTACCGACCACTGAAAGGAAGTCACACTCACAAACCATACCTGACAGATGTTTTTAAAGGAACAGTTCACCCAAAAATTCAAATGGCCATTCAAGATGTAGATGAGTTTGTTTATTCATGGAAACAGGTTTAGAGAAATGTATAATTACATCTCTTGCTCACCAATGGAGCCCCTGCAGTAAATGGGTGCCGTCAGAATGAGAGCCCAAACAGCTGATAAATACATGAATCCAATCGATCAATTAACATCTTTTAAAGCGAAAAGCTGTGTTTGTAATAAACAAATCCATCATTAAAGTGTTTCAACTTTAAAGGGATAGTTCACCCAAAAATGAAAATTCTGTCATCATTTACTCACCCTCATGTCGTTCCAAACCTGTATGAGTCGCTTTCTTATGTTGAACATAAAAGAAGATATTTTGAAGATTGCTGGTAATCAAACAGTTGGTGGTTGCCATTGACTTCCATAGTAGGAAAAAAAACATTCTGAAGTTAAAAACGTCTTGATGTCAAACATGCAGTTTTTGTTTCACAAGACATTAACTGATGGACTGGAGTGGTGTGGATTACTTGTGGATTATTGTGTTGTTTTTATCAGCTGTTTGGACTCTCATTCTGACGGCACCCATTCACTGCAGAGGAACCACTGGTGAGCAAGTGATGTAAAGATACATTTCTCCAAATCTGTTCTGATGAACAAACAAACTCATCTATATTTTGGATGGCATTAGAGTTTTTTTTTCATTTTTTGGGTAAACTATTCCTTTAACAGTAAGATTATCGTTAACATCTATACAGTAAGTAATGTTGGTGTCATTGCTTTACTGATTATGTTTTAACCAGTCTAAGTTACAGTACAAAAACTGTGTGAAATATTGCCCGAAGCTTAAGGTTAATATTGGTCTGCCAACACAAAGGCTGTATATTTGAACAAAAGACCACTGACCTATTAAGTTAATTTTATTTATTTTATTATTTTATTTTTTTTAAAGCCACTTTCCCAAAGAATATCCAAATGAAATGAGACAAATGAAATGGAGAGATTCTGATCATTCAAGATAACATTTATATTAAAAAAAAAAATTACATGAATCACAAAAATCCTTAATTGAAGTTATAGGTAACACCACTGAATAGACTGATGTGGAAAAAACAATGGACATTAAGTTGTGCTGAATGTATCGTGCGGTTTCCATTGTATATTACCACAGGAACTGAGCCTTACACACTTCTCTCTCTTTCTGTCTCTCTTCATTAAAATCTAGCCTTGATGAAACTTGCCTTTCCACAAAGTAGCAGAAGTCCACTAAATACCGTTTTTTGGATTTGCATTAACACTTTCCATTAGGGGTCGAGGAGTTTCGTCTTGTAAACGACTGACCACTAGTCAGATAAACACTGACAGTGATTTACTGTGGCAAAGCAACCGGAAATCGTTCAATGTGAACGAGAGCCGTCTGTTTCCTCTGAGCTGAGCTGCAGTTTATTCAAATGAGCAGCTACACGATACAGACAGACTTGTCCATCTGATATTTATTCACCAGCAGAATGAGTTTCACGTCCTGATACAGGTAGATACCAAGTAAAACGCCTCCTAGAAACATTCATGGTGGGTAGACCTTTCCACAGCCAAATCTCGCTGTCTATAGTGACCGGAAACGTCAAAATCAAATTAACCACTCACTCCGCAAAACATTCAGTTTAAGAGGCGCTCAAAACTCTGCACGGTATCTGCATTGGTAACTGCAATATATAAATAAAGCATATAATTTTTTGTTTGCATTTTCTAATTAGAATCTTTATGTTATAAAAGTATACGGATTATCTGTATGATGTAGTATTTTATTCATTTGTAACACTTATTTTGTGTATACCAACAATACAACAGTATATGTTTAAAAACGTAATCGAAAGTTACAACTTTTATCACCTTAAATGATAAAACTGACTCGAGACCAGTTGCAATCGTACTTTTAATACTGCTTTATGGGTTCACTTAAAGGGGTCATATGATGCTATTTTAAAGATCATTCTTTACAGATCTTCTTTATGCACCAAGAGCTTGTAACACTCCAAAGAGAAAGGAAAACTTGAAATCGCATCATATGACCCCTTTAAGATCAACCCGGCCAACCACCGATATTTAAAATGTTCCGAACAGCATGAGGTAACGAAGCCTCTTTCAATAAAAATCACGTGTCTTGGTTTGGTAGACTGATATGCACTCTGATCTCACTGATTCGAATTTCGAAACAAAAGATTCATATGCAGTGCTTCGCTCAAATTACTAGTTCCTAAATCCTGCTCTACATAAATATTTATAATACATCAAATGATTTCTTATCGAGTGGAATTTTTACTGTCAATGCAGAAAGACGCTGGAAACTTGTGGTGCAATGCCTGGCAGGGACAAGTGACATGTTTTGCATTTCCCTGTCTTTGACATCATATTTAAAGCAGTTTGTTTACTGAACTGCAGTTGAATTTTCAGCTTTGACTTCTTGTCCAATACATAGCACACGTTTGTTAAAGATCGCTTCAAAGTGTACAAACATCAGTTTTATATACATTCTAAATCATAAACATCTTAAAGACATCTTCTAAACGTCTATTTGACATCTGATAGGAAACGTCCTAAGTATAGACAGATTGCAGATGAAAATGCAGACGTCAAATAGATGTATCTGTGATGTACGTGTGCAATCAGGGTCGGTTTCCCTTATGGAAGTCTTAAAGTTTCTGTGTTGTTTTGAAGATCTTTAGGCCTATTACAATTGATTTAAAGCTTGTTTTTTTAAATAAAGGTCAGGAGTTCCTCTTTCATATTCATCCAGTTATTACATTTGGATCATAACACCAATGACAGATCACACAGTACCCCCTTCCAATAAACTGATATTTTCAAAACAAGAATCTGTACTTATGTATACCTGCCAATGACTTGGCATTCCTGTTGTTATAATTAGCTGTTGTCATGTGGATTCTCCTCCCATCACAACAAAGCTCTGTGTTTCCTCATCACCTGTACAGTCTCTCAGACCCACAGCAGGAGTAAACACATCTTTAACACAAAGAAGATGAGAAAGAAGGAGGCAAGTCACTTTGAGGCTAATCTTTTTAGATTATGGCAAAAACAAAAAGTAAATTACCTTAAAGTAAGTTGTATCTCGCTGTTGTTTTACTGGGAACAGCAATTAATTTGGCATCTTCTGTTTGTATTTCTGTTGCTGTCATCTGTCTTTATGCTGGTGATAAATATTTTTTAAAGGCTATATAAAGTAAGCACTTTATTTTGTTGTTTAATTTTAAATCTTCGCAGGTCATAATGAGGAACTTGAAGAACACTGGACACTCCTAAACTGGAAGTTTTAAATTCCTATGATATTTTTTTGGAAAGAAAGAAAGAAAGAAAGAAAGAAGGAAAAGAAAAGAAAAGAAAAGAAAAGAAAAGAAAAGAAAGAAAGAAACGATATGGAATTTTAAGGCAATATTTCACCTGAGTAAAAGGACTACATGAAACTGATTACAAAATCAACCTAATCTTACACTGAAACAAACGATATTTCCCTTTCAAACTCAACTCAAGTATCAAGAGGGATGTGTTCAGTTTCCATCAATCAAGGACGGGACCTACAGCTTTTTCTCAAAGGTGTGTAAATGATTTTGTTTGATCAAACTCAATTCCATTTTTTCAATATTATTCAATAATACCGGTTACAAACATATAGGCATACATTATTATAATAATATTAATAATATAAAATAAGAAACGCCATGATGGACATCTGCGCATGTGCTGTCATTCACGCACCGGATATGAGCCAGACACACGTCGGACATGTTGACCATGCCACGGTTAGAACAACTTTGTATTTAGTCATTGCATGCATTTAAGAATTTGTTTTAATTAAGTTTTTGCCTTTTAATTTGAGTGGTTACTATGAAAATCCATGGGACACAGGTATGTTTTAGTAATGTTGACCATGCCACGGTTAGAACAACTTTGTATTTAGTCATTGCATGCATTTAAGAATTTGTTTTAATTAAAATAGATTTAAGTTTTTGCCTTTTAATTTGAGTGGTTACTATGAAAATCCATGGGACACAGGTATGTTTTAGTACATTTTGAGGCATAAATATTTAATGTCGTCAAAGCCACGTGTTCTTGTGAAGCATGGAAGCTAATTGCTGTAATGTTTGGAAAGTATAACTTTGTTCTCCTAAAAGTAGCATTAATTATATTCATTACTAATAAATATGAGATCATTATCTATGCCAAGTAGATCTGTAAACCAGTTTTCTTAAAAAAAAAAAATTGATTAGGAGGCTTGAATGTAGTTTGGTTGTTTGGTCTAAGCAGGCCCGAGAGAGAACGATCTAGTAAGGTCAGGGTATAGATCAAATAAATGTGCTCTTGATTTTTTCCACAAAACAATTTTCACAAAGATCTTTATTTCTAATTGCTCATTAATTCTGAAAATTGTACATTTAAAGTAACCGGCTCATGTTTGGGCTCCATCCTCATGCTTCGTTATTAATGTTAGACAAGGTGACCCGTTTGGTAGTTTTTGTTGTGTAATTGTTCTATGAAATCTCCAGATGTTTTAAAGCTCTTTTTTTTTTCTTTTGCTGTTGATCAAATTTTCATTCAAATACAAATACATAGAAAGTCATTGTTAATAACAGAATAGATTCAACGTAGTTTAGCAAGCCGTTGATGTTTTTTTTATCTTGTTTCCACAGTTGTACATCATCACTATTTCTGTGTTTCTGCTGCATTTCATAGGTGAGAAATGAAACTGCATTTTAATTGATATTTCATGCCACATGTAATATGTCAAACATTTCTTTCTTTCTTTTTTGTTAGATTCTTTCTCTGTTCCTGCATCCCCCGTTGCGGGTTTTGTTGGAAGCTCGGTTGTCTTGTCATGTTTTATCCATCACAGAGAGCTTCAAGACAGAATTAAAGATGTTAATATACACTGGCGGTACAATAAGAGCAAAATGGTGACTGATATAACTGGGGGCAACAGAACAGCTGAAGATCATGCTCCAGAGTACAAGAACAGAGTTGAAACGTTCCCTGAGGAGAAAGGTAACTTCTGCCTCAAAATCAACAATATCAAAAAAAATCACGCGGGGAAGTACACCTGTATCATCACAGGGCCATTTCAAAATGAGATGCACATTGAACTTTTTGTCAAAGGTGTGTAAAATTTTGACTACAATTTAAAATTCAGAATGAAGTTGGTATTGACTGATCAAATTAATGTTACAATCTTTATTGCGGTTTCATTTCACAGATATACCAGAGGAAAAAGAGAACAGGAAGTCAATTGTATTACCGATTGTTTTTGTGTTCCTCATTCTGATTTTTGTCATTGTAATTTATGCATCAAGGGAATGCTTGTTACTGACAATCAACCAATGCTGGACACAATGTTGGAAGTATTTTTCTTGTCTCCGTTACAGTACTTAAATTCATTTTTTAAAGTATCTGTAATGTGAGTATTGTGCAAAATGAATTAAAAGTTTGTCAAAAATCAACATAAAGCAACACCAAGTATCTATTGTTTCATATGAATGTTCATTCATACTGAATGTGCACACTGGCCTATAAAAAGCAGTTTAACTCTACATAAGGCTTCTAATGGGAGCTGCCATGTTGAGATCACATGACCAGCTGAGCTCACTTTATCTCAGTAAACCCCTATTATTAGACACTTCTGGAACAAACTGATGGATGCGAACTTTTGCATGAATTTTCTAGATAAATGTAATATTAACAAAACTTCTACACTATAACAATAGATGCAAATTACATGGAAGTACCATAGGTCTAGTATTATGACATCATCGATTTTAGATTAACCCACCTCTAAATGTCACGAAAAATGCAACACACTTTAGTTGGTTGCTTTACATGTGGGCCAGGTTCTTCCTTAAGTAGCCTGTACAATTCTTTATTTTTTTTTTACTTGCTTAGTAGACAAAAGTAATGCAATTCACTTGTGCATCTAGTTTCTTCAAACAGCAAACAGAACAAATTTTATTTGCACTATTTCAGGCTGCATAGCACTTTTACACAACAGAGTTAACACAACATGCTTGAACAAGTCAAATTCAACATATAGAATAAAATAAATTAAAAGGGTCAAATAAATTAAAACAAATGTAAATAATTTTAAAAAAATAAATAAATAAATAAATAAATAAATAAATGCGTAAAGCTAGTGCAAACATTTTAGTGGAACTGATCTGCCAAAGGTAAACTAGTAAACAGTTTACTATGTGTAATCTTGTGGTTCAGTAAGTACACAGTAGAAAATAGTAATATTGCTCACGTCAAGACTCACTGTAATTAAAGCACACACTGCTGAACTATATGCAGTCACCACTCACACACAGAGCAGAACAGTAGCAGAGAAGAGAGGAAATAACAGAGATACAATCCTCTCTGCTGTGGTTTCAACTCCACTGTTTGAGCCTGGCTTCTCTTGGATTCCTCTTGGTTTCTCTAAAACATAAAAACAATGAAAGAAGAATGAAAAAGTGTGGCATGTAGGCTAGTACACACTCACTGCACTTCACAGAGTGGACAACCATCAGCAAAAGCACTCAAACTCTACAGGTGAAGTGTGTAATGTCTGTGCCACAAATGATATCAAACGAAAGTGCAAGAATAATCCTTTGTTTCCAAACAGGTTTCCCAAACATTCAAACTGCTCCACTCCTTCTGTCTTCCACCTAGACAACTATTTTGAGTTGTTACTCACCGATTTCACATTTGGATTTCAGATTTAGCTTTGATTGTTTACTGTTATGGAAATGATTTTGTTTGTAAGACATGTTATTTCACGTTTCTTCATAATCTGTTTTGTTTTAGAACCTGTTATTTTGTTTTTCAGATCTGTTATTTTTCAGACTAGTTCTTTTAAAAAATGTATTTGGTCAGAATTGTCATTTTGTTTTAGAATTTATTTTGGTTGTTAGATCTGTTTGGTTTTATAATCTGTTATTTTGTTAATCGTATTCGTTTTCGAATTTATTTTGTTTGTCAGACTGCTTATTTTGTATTAAATATATATTTAGCCAAATTTGTTTTGTTTTAGAATTTATTTTGCTTTATAATCTGCTATTTTGTTTGTCAGACTGCTTATTTTGTTTTGCAATTTATATTGCTTGTCAGACTAGTTATTGTGTATTACATTTTATTTTGTTTTATAGGAATTTGATATTTTGCTCTGTAATCTGTTATTTTGTTTGTCCGACTGGTTGCTTTGTTTTAAAATTTTGCCAGATTTGTTATTTGGTTTTATAATCTGTTTGTCTAACAGACTGTTTTTGCATTATTATTATTAGTAGTAGTAGTATTTTGTCAGATTTGTAGTTTTGTTTTAGAATTTGTTATTTTATTTGTCAAACTAGTGTTTTTTTTTTTTTCTTCCTACAATATGTTTATTTTAGAGATATGTTGTGTTTTTGAGAGTACTTTTGTTTTGGGATTATCATTTTTTGTTTTATTTTTGGGTCTGGTTCAAAACGTGCCGTTTTGAATTTCTCGGTCATAGTCCACTTCTTCACTAAACGGCTTATTACAGGTAGCCCCGCCACAAACCCACACCATTGGTCGAGGCAGAAATGATGTGCAAGACTACTTGCAAACAGCTGAAATTGTCAAAGAGCACTAGTGTTTACATTCAGTACATCAACCTATGAACAGCTTACTGTGCAGCTGCCTTTGCACATTAAACTGGGATAACAGAAAATATTTGAACATTTAAAAGAAATACACACTTCACCACACTTAAATACCAATCAATGATTTTTAGGAGCAAATTATAGCCATTTCATCACACCTCTGACTTGAAGATTTATGCATTTGTTGAGATCAAACTCAGCATTTGGGATGAAGCAGCAGTACGACCCTTCATCACTTTTCTGAAGATTCCCAAGCCTGAGGGAGAAGTTTCCTTTCGAATACTCTGAAGGGAACGTTTCAGTTCTGCCCTTGTACTCTGCGTCCTGCTCCTTCGTCGTCCCTTGGCCATTTAGTATGTCGTAAACATTTTTGCTGTCGTTATATCTCCAGTGTGCAGTGTTGACTTTTAGTTGCCCGGTCTTAATACGGCACGGCAAAAGTGCAGAATCTCTGATAAAACCCTGAACTATGTCCTGCACAGATGCTGAAACAAAAGCAAAGACAGACCAGGAACATGCAAAAGACAGTCGATGCTGAATTGAAAGTGGATTCAAATGAATATCAGTACTTTTTTTGTGCTTACCTTCATTCAAAAGTAGTATAAAGAAACAGACGAGCAACGCACTGCAAAAAACAAACACAAAAACTGTCACACAGACACAATAAACCATGAGGAACTACTATTCACAATAGTAAAGATATGCCTCAGGGTAGTTACTTCTGTTTCTTAAAAATAGCTTTTCCTGAGGGGACTGACAGACTTCAACAACAGGCACTGCAGCGACACAGCGGTCAACGAAACGTCATTTATGATGACAAAAGTGGCTGACGAAACCTATAGCAGTGAAGTTTATATAGACAGGCGGCTTTTGTAGAAGTGTGAAGATACAGAAGACGTTTAGTGAAGAAAGTCTGGGTCACTTTAAATAAGCTGGACATTTATATACATTTACACCAATGGCAATGGACAATGGCGTATTTGGATTATTAAAAATATTTTAAAACAGATTCTTGCTTTATGCAATATGATTACATAAATAATATTATGAATTAACCTGAAATTACCTGCAACAAGTGTAGTCTGACGTTAGATGTAATACAAACACATAAACTATATCATATAATATACAGAGTAGGCATAAATATATGCAATAACATTCGATTTGCGTTCATTTATTTTTCAGGAGTTTTGAATAAACGAGTTGTGTTTATGTTCAACTAGCCTGGCAAGCTAGTTATTACACATAAAAGCTAAACGAGACCTAACTGCGCAACCAGACGGAACGAATTCCTTGGAAATTACAATTTTCTGTTCCTAACAATATTTCGGACTCGTTCTCATCGCCAACGAATCGATATTTGTAGATGTATAGTGAGTGACTGAAGCTTAGCTAACACAAAGCCTGTAACGTTAGCTAATAGCAACACTGAGTGTCCGCTTTTGTCCTGAAGGCCAGAGAATAAAGATGTCTAACGTTACTGCTAGACGACGACAGTTTCCGCACAACGTACCTTTTGAGCACCATGGACATATTTATACTAATGTAAACGAACAGTTATTGGAGAAATTAAGAGGACATTGCAGCTTAAATATAATAGAGAAGCTTGTCCATGATCATGGACTGGATAGTGCGCAACTACTGAACATGCGCAGTTCATATCTGTTTATATTATCTTGTTGTGTAAAATAATAAAAAGTTTGATTAAAAGTATAAGTAGGCTACAGCATAAGTGTTGTATATAATGCTAGCGTGTTTTTTATTTGCATTATTTTAACAATTTTCGAGTAGGCCTATGCAATATAATGTAAGGTGTTACCTTCATCTAAAACAAAAACAAAACAAAACATACATACTGCAAAAACGATAACAAAATGTTTTTTTTGTTTTGTTTTGTCATTGGTAGTGTTTTTTATATATAGTTTTTTAGCTTTAGTTGTTTTAGTACATCAGGTTAAACTAAATTAAAATGAGAAATGCTGCCTTGGCAACTAGGTAAAATAAAAAAGTTATTAATAATGGAAATGTTTTTTTTATGGTTTTAATTTTAGTTTCAGTTTAATTTTAGTTTTTTTTTCTCTCTCTCTCTTTTCGTTGGCTGATATGTCCCATGCCAAAAATGTCTAGAGGATGGAACATTGTTAATTAAAAAATAAATAAATAAATAAAATAGTCTCATTAAGGGCTTAGTATAATCTTCATATTTGTTTGAATGTTACCCTTCGCTAAGCCCCGCCCTCCTTAGTTACTGTTGCTACGCCTGAAAAGCTTTCGCGCCTGGCACCTCTATTATAGTATGTATGCACAGGTGTCAGACATTCCCAAGGAGATAATTAGTCATTTTTGGCGAACAGGTGAAATATCTGAGAGAGCAAGACAAAAGGGACTGACTGCAGTATGCATTCGAGGGATATATCCACGACATAATATGCAACCGATTAGAGAATAATTTCATCAAAATTGAAGCTAAAGCCTATAGGTCCCAGCGCAAGCAGCAGCCGCCTCATACGCTGACCATTCAAATGGGAAACAGCTATGTTCATGCACAGCAGGGTAAGTGAAATTTGAAAATAATCTAATAATTATAAATCAAACAGCTTATCCATAAGTCTTGTGGAATAAACACAAGACATTAGCCTGACCACTTTGCAATGATAACATTCTCCCGCTTATATTTTTAGAGCGCCAGGCTACTGCTCACACGTCGTGGGTCTAATCTACGCCTTGGACCTGGCAAGAGCCAGAGATGCTGAGCTGAGCCATACATCATCAACAACACAAACAAAGTCCTCCTGCACGAGTCTACCACAGCAGTGGCACAAGCCAAGGGGTAACAAAATAAGGGCAGTGCCAATATCATCGGTAGTTGTCGCTAAAGCCAATGAAAACCGTATGCGGCGACCAATCGACTGTCGGTATGCAGGAAGCAGGTAAGTTGAAAATTATGTTTATGGTTATAGTTATGGGATTTGGCAGACGCTTTTGTCCAAAGTGACAAACAATAAATACATTTTATCCCTGGGAATTGAACCAATGACCTTGGTGTTGCTAGCGCCAAGCTCTACTGTTTGAGCCACTCAACATTTAGTCTGTGTTCAGAATACAATACTAGCTTAGTGCTAGTATGAGAATAATGTGCAGTATATACTGTATAGCAGTTC